TGTCTCTTATACACATCTAGATGTGTATGAGAGACAGGTACCAGAGTTCAAACCCTTCGAAGACGATGTTTTAAAGATGAAAAAAACCCGTAATAACTAATGTAAATTCTTTATTAAAAGACGACATTAAAGTGATCAACTCATCAGATAAACTCTTCGTACTAGCAGATAAAACGTAAAAAAAAATTCTACCAAGTCAATAATTTGATTGATTGATTAATTTGATTGAATGAATGTTGTTGAAATTGAAATTGAATTGAAGCGCAATACAAGCTACTTAAGGATAACATCACCAAGAGTTACAAGAAAGCTCCATGTGATGCAACAGAAAGGATCAACTCTGAACCCAGTTGCATTTACGCTTCGCTTAACCTGGAAGACAAAGGAGACATCCTTGCAAAAATTCCAGCCTTTATAACCCTAAAATACCGCAAAAAAACCCTCCAAAATAATACTTCGTGCCGACTGATCAACCCATCCAAAACAGAAATTGGTATAGTCAGCAAACACATACTCGACATGTTCAACAAGGCTGTTACTTACAAGACTGGAGTCAACCAGTTATACACTGGTATAAAGGAGTAGCAGATATGAAAAATTGCTCCTTCATCATATTCGATTTTTTGGACTTCTACCTCTCCATTTCTGAAGACCTTCTCACCAGATGCACTACAAGCACCCGGCTTTACTAACGACCCTAAATACATGCCACCTAAACTACAGAAGCCACAAAAACAGACACGACACAGGAACATCATTTGGTACAACTCCCCCCTCCCCGCCCCTTTAGCCATTTACCGTAGCAGGTTTAAACCTAATTCATAAACACTTCCCCTGCAAGTCCACTACACAAATTATTCAACAAAAACAGCGTAAAAGTTATCTGCTGCATGGACAACATGGAAACCATAATAAATTCACATAACAAGAAAATACTAAAACTTTAACAATCTGAACTCGAAAATGGCAAAAGCATCTGCAGGCAGAAAAATGAGTTCCCGCTCAATGGAAATGACTCATCCAGAACGTCATCTACAAACCCGATATCACTACGCAAAACGACACAAAACAGTATATTGGACTGACAGAAAAAATTTCAAATACAGATACACTGCACACAAACACCCCTTTAATCTGCGCAAACATCAGAACAGCGCGGACTGTCCAAGTATATATTAGAAATCAAAGACAGCAACACCCCTTCATCATTAAGTGGAACATAATCCAACGAGCACTCCCGTACAACAATATTACTAAGCGCTGCAATCTATGCCTAGCAGAAAACATTACATCATCACATCCGACCGTAACAAAACAAACTATCCGACTTTATCTCCGCCTGTTGTCACCGCAACAAATACTCACTCAAGAACTGCTAATTTTCACTCCACTTTCTACAGTTCTCACGCCCAATACTTATAATATACCTGCCCCTAATCAAAACAACTTTCATCTACCTGCAAATTGCATACCACCTATATTCATTAATGAAATTACATTGCGGTCAAAAAGTCGTGTACCAACCTTCTCTCCTTAAAATATGTGGGGGATAATGTATAGCGCCTCCCGCCCTTCACATGATCTACAGATTCAGACTGCCCTCGAAATTATTTTTAGAAATGGAGAAAAAAGAAATCTACATATTCAAATTTAAGTCTAAGACTGCCACTTCCGGCCATCTAGAGATGCCATACATTATAAAATCTTACTTCAGCCCTAACCATAATGGCGCTGAAGTGGTACACCTTCCATTTGTGAAAGTCTCTCCCTGGGCCACCTCTATTTTGAACTTTTAAATGTGGATGAAGACACTAAGAGTGGTGTATAACTGGAGGGAAAATCCAATAATAGGAAAGATGCAAACCTGCCTCAAGTCGTATAAACTTGATGTAGGATACTCACATTGGATTTGCGAAGTATCCACATTGATAGCTTTGGTTCCAAGGAGGCCACAGGTTTCTCTCTCTCATTTGCAAGTTCACATGCCTTGAGCTTGGTGACTTATAGGAGGAGTTAAGGGACAGTTTTTTGTTTTGTTTTGTTTTTTTGTTTTACAAAAATATCACTACCGACAACACTCTTACCAAAGCCCATAATATCAATATTCAATACAAAATGTATTTAATATTTACGTCTTCAATATTAGTTTGACATTACGCCTATATCGGAAGTGTTCTGTTTTCTTTAGACCCATTGTCCAGGAACCAAACGCGAGAGAACTTGGAATGGAAATATCACTATTAGAACGGTATGCTGACGAGGCTATCATGCTTAACATACAATATCGTATGGTAAGAACGATCAATGCCTTTGCACTGGAAATGCTATTTCAATAAGTATAGAATAAATTTTTAAAAATATGAAAGTAAATGATGAGAATTTTTATTTGGTTTCGACGTGAAGTAGGCAAGGCAAACACATATTACATGTTGAACTTACACTAATTCTACACTAATAGCAGTATTCTAACTTGATTAATTCATTTAATGTATGTATTTATTTGCTACTTTTTATGCAGCATTCCAGCATATGTGACTTTCCATCACAACAATTCTACGACGAAAAACTGAAGACGGATATATCGGTCAGTAAAAGGAAGCCAGACACCTTAAACTGGCCAACAAGAGACGGTAATAAGGAGTACCATACATTGTTCTGTCATGTCGAAGGTAAGGAGGAATCGCAAACAGTAAAAACCGAAGAGGGTAACGAGAACAGCAAATGCAATCAACAAGAAATAGAATGCTTGGTTAGTATTATGCAATTTTCTGTTTGATGATGATGATGATAATAATATTAATATTATTATTATTATTATTATTATTATTATTATTATCTTGGAGGAAAAATATTAAGAGACTCGAGTTACCATAATATTCAATAATAATGATAATAATTACTATAATGTTAATAATTATAATACTAATGACAATGATAATAGTACTGCTCATGGTGATGATGGGGATGATGTTTACTTTTAATTTAGGTATTTTCAGTAGGCATAGGACTATATAAAATATATCTAAGAAATACATTTTTTAATGTGGGCATTGGACTTTATTTTTGTATCAATACAGTTGTTAGCGTTTATTTTCTAACAAAATGTCGGAGTGGATCCAGGATATTCCTGGTTGGGTTAGAGAGGAAGTGGCAGATATGGACCAATGGTCCTAGTGGAATGGTCATTTTAGCCATTTTATTCTCTTATCACTAAACTTCAATTTCATGCTTGGCTTGGACCTTCTCCTGGCTGTCCATGGGGAGGGTAAGGGGTAGAGGTCGAGCGCTTCATTTTCCATCCCTCGATCCGCCACTGAACATATCTTATTAAATTAATGCATTTGCAACAGATGAAAGTTGTGCAGAAGCTATTGGAGAAAAGAATTATAGCGAAGGACATTCTGGTCTTGACACAGTATCGGTTACAATTAAGTGAAATAAAGACTAGGCTAGATAAGGACAGTAGAACACGTGAAGTACGAGCCGCAACCGTCATCACAAGTCAAGGTGAGTAACGTGAAGAGTAAAACATGGATTACTGACACATATTAAACACCTTTAAGCTTTCTCATCACATTAGTTCACTGCCAAAGTTTTTGGCATCATAACCGCCACGTAATACTCATCCTCTTTCATTATCATGTTAGGCTTCTGTGCGGTACACTATAGCTACTTCATTCCCATTCGCTCTTCGTATCCGTCACATTATCATCATCATCGCCATTATCATCACTATAATAATAATCATCATCCTTATCATCACCAGCATCATGATCGCCATCACCAACACTATCATCTTTCATTATAGGTCTATCATATTATGTTGTTATGATTATCACCTTTATTATCTTCATGAATATCATCACTGTAACTTGTCAGTGGCGAAATATATTTCTATTAGTGGAATAAAATAGGATTTTAATATATATATATATATATATATATATATATATATATACATTATTAATATACAGTAAGCCTACACCTTATGGCCATAATTATACATCATCAGCCAAATGACGAAGCTATCCCTATTATTGTACGTCATCATTCTCCTAATTTCTATTATACTGTAGCTTTATTTTATGTTCTATAGGAGCGTGTGGCGCAGCGTGTAATGTGTTGACGCCCGTCGCACTGCGTGTGACCTTGGGCAAGGCATATTACTTATGTTTGCCTCTCTTCACCCAGAGTATAAATGGGTACCTGGTAGGATGGCATGGCATTGAATGTATGGGTCGTGCACGCACAAGCAGCAATGACCAGGGATCTCCCAGGGAGTAGAGAGAGTTGCACAATGTGCGGGTCTGCCAACGCAGTATCCAGTGACCATGGGAAATAATGATGCCAGCGCCTAATAAAAAAAATATCTCGTTTGTTGTTTTTGAAATAATTATAAATGTAAATTCAAATACCCTCTCTATATCAATTTCCTAGTCGTCAATACCATCCACATCACCATGCTATTATTTATGTTATCGTTTTTATACCAGGACCCAATTGGTAATAAGTGGTTTTAACGACTTTTGTGGCTCTCTTTGTATATAAACAGCATCTCTTTCTTTAATTTATGTTTTTGATAATTACTTTATTTAATAAAGAATGGTTGCCGTATTCCTTTTTTGTATATTTTAAAATTGTTGTTGAAGTGATGGTTTTTTATACCAAATATACTCAATCAATTCAACCACACTAAACACTTATTTTCCCCACATCATCTTCTTATTCCAATTATCCTCTTTACCCTAGCCTAATAATCTGACCATCGTATAACCTTTATCCTCTGATATTCCATCCGTATTTTCTTCCTTTTACATCATCGGCATAATCATCTGCATCACCTTCGTTAACATTCGCCTTCACCAGCTTTCATCCAGACAGATGTTAAATATACTAATTATTCTCTATTTTGAAATCCAGGAAGTGAGAGTGATTACGTCATAATGTCGACTGTGCGATCCATTCCATTGGAGCAAATTGAGGAAAAGCCAACTATCGGTTGGAAAAGGAAGTTCCTTGGCTTCATTATAGATGAAAACCAAACAAATGTTGCCCTCACGCGAGCAAAACGAGGCCTAATTTTGATTGGTAAGCCTGGCAAAATAATTTGAACAAAATCTGTAAAAAATATATTTATCTTATTAATAAAAGAGAGAAGTATATTTTTAGATTGTCTTCACAGTCATAAAACAATAATTTTCCCACAATTGATCGTTTTCTTCTGGATGGGTCACCCTTGTTAATAAAATACACTACTTTGAGTATGGTATTGACATCTAAGCTGGGCTCGTGGTTACGACCTAAGTCATGAAGCAATAATAGTAAAGTTGATATAAAGCCATACTTTTTTATTGATTCTGGTGAAATAAATGATATGATTGATTGCATCACACAATTGTAATATAAATTAACAAGTATAATGCACATATTCAACAGGTAATAAACATCTGTTAGAGACACATGGAACTTGGGGAAACTTAATAAAATCGTATGAAGACAGAGGATGTCTGATGTACAATATGGATTTCTTGACGACTTTCTGAAAGTGTAGCCATACAAGTTGTATTGACGGAGAGAGAGAGATGATAACGATTTCAATCTCAAATTCAACTTTTTATTTTCTGAACTTCGTTGCTATAATAAAGATACAGCATAACATAGTACAGTACTTATCATCAGCTGTCTGATTAGTCTGTGGTATATGTACTATACTTATATAGCATTTATATGCATTTTTTTACTCTCTTTTGTGGTACATTTACCACATTTATTCATCCATAATACATATCAGATATTCCGTAAGAGACATATACCAAGGGTTGTTTCCTTATATCGTTGTAATAAAAGATAATTCTTTAGAAAATCTGAATATATTTACAATTAGACAAGCATATTTAAACCGCTCATATAGTGGTATAAACAACATCAGTTACTGACTCATATAATCATGGCATGACTTTGATTTGGATATCAAGCATTGTTAAGTTTGTTTTTGGGGTTTTTTTTCGTATTCATAAACGTGATGTTTGTTTTCATACAAATGATGATTAATATCGTTCTTCTGATCACAACAAAAAATTCACAATTTTTTTTCCTTTTGCATGAATCTTAGATATAAGTAAACTGTAAGTTAACGTACAGTTCAATACACATAATTCCATCTGATCTTAACACAAGAACAATCATATCAGAGCCTGAATGCCTGATCAAAATAGTACATACGTTTATATATGCATAGGTCCTCAATATATATATATATATGTATATATATATATATATTATCCTTTTCTTTATTTATTTATATATAAGTGTAATGATATATACATACCTAAACACACACATATAGATACATGCATACATTTACATATATGTACATACAGTACGGTACCTACACACAATCCCAAAAGTATATGCAAATATGCATACATACACACAATTACAGACACATATATATGCTTAAAGTTTTCGTTTTATGTCAATATTCAAGTGTATATACTGTAGCATTTCACATCCATAAGTAGGTAAACATACAGTTACATACGTTAGTCAGGATCTCAACCATGATACTTATGCAGTTATTCCCATAGTTAAATTAAGAAATCCTTGAATTTGCTTGCTTTGGCTGATGTGGTATTTTCTTGCAACTTTTTCCTGTATTTAAGTTCAGCTAAAAGCATTGGTATAATAGGTTTTAATAACTGTATATTGTTTTCACGTGACTTTAGCCATGTGGAATAACAAATGCGGCTAATGTAATAAATTCATTTACGACATTGTATTTATCATTAATATCGTCGATTCCCTTAACTACTACGTTCATATTTATATCGAATAAAAATCCATTTTTTTTGCAGCAATAGTTTGACTTTCTCCAGTATTTATTTACACGTTTACAATCAAACATCATATGTAGGTAATCAGAGTGTATAATGGCGATTCTATAAGTTTATGATTCGAATAATTTTTTGTTGGTTATTAAAATTGTATGTAATAGCCTTAAATTGAATTGTTTGAGTTTTATTTCATAGATTTGATCAATTTTCTTTTTCCAAACACTTTTCCATTCAATAAACTCATGGTGCAATACGACTTGCCAGTACAAAATTCCTTTCGGCGTAATAATATCTTTTTGTATTAGGGCCTATATTTCTATACATATAGGCCTAATTTTGTTACTTGCCTTATATAATGGTATCGCCTCTAAACTATTATACTTCAGCATTTGAAAATCGTCTTTGTTGCGATCTACGATATCACATTTTGTGATATTTAAGATTAGTCGACCATTTCTTTGGAATACCAATTTTAGCGGTAAATAATCATATTTTTAAAGAATTCCGGATTTACTAATTTACTGTTGCTGAAGACATCCTTAATGCTTTAAAGTTTGGTATATTAATACCGCCATCTAAAACATTGTTATTCAATGTTTCCTGGTTTGGAGTCCCATAGAAAGGCAAAAATTAATTTGTCGATTTCCTTAAAGATAAAATATGGAATATTAAGTATGCTGGCTGTAAATATAAGTTGTAATAATGCTAAAGTATTGATTATCATAACTTTTCCAAAAAGCGTAAGTTTTCTTTTTTTCCACGTATTGAAAACTATTTTCTAATTTACTTATTTTATCTTTCCAGTTCATTTTTACGCAAGTTTTACTTTCATAACCAACATACAGTATATCCCTAACACACTAATCGGCTTTTGTTGCCAATTAATTTCAGTAACCTTTTCTTTTCTATGTTTCCATGTCCCAATAAAGATTCCTACTGATTTCTTAACATTAAGATGAAGACCTGAAAATTTACAAAACATATCAAGAGTACTTAGTGCTTCTTTATTGCTATTATCATCGTTAAAAAACAGAATGGTGTCGTCTGCATATTGTGCAATTTTAGGATATGATTCGGGATACTAGTATGCATTATTATAATGTAATAAAATAGCCTATCGTATATTACCCGGCGTACGTCTAATAAAGTAAATACCGGTGTAGTATCCAGTGTCTTTTTTATGATACAGTATATTATTCCTCAATCAGTTTTAAAGACACAGATACAGATACAGTATTAGGCACATTAAATAAACAGTCAACAAATTTAGGCTACAGCCTATCATTTTACCACGAGCTCAATGTTAACGTTGCTGTATCCTAAAATTATCCTGCAGGTCTCCTACCGCTTGTTATTTCTTAATAGCATATCTAGGCCTATATAACAAAATACAGTCAATAGCGCAGTCATATCTATTTCGCAAACAAGCCTACCGTAAGTTTGCTCGCTCCGTACTCTACAATTTCAATTCAGCCTACTGTAGGCCTATTATTAACATCCTTTTTAAAAAAATGGTCTGGCGTCAGCGGCAACAAATCTTCTGGACTATCTTGGTTTATAGTAAGGAGTCTACTGTTTATCAGATTTTCTGCTTCGCAGAATAATGTTTTGAGCCCCTCATCGTTCGTCATTCTTATTTGGCTGTTCGCACAGAACACCGTACAAGACCTTTTCTAGTAGATCGAATCATGCGCTCCCACAATCCTCCGAAATGAGTGGCAGCGGGGGAATAAAGCGCCAATCTATATTTCTCGTCAACATCTGATCTTGTATTTTCTCAGTCTTGACACCCTTAAGAGCTTCTCTGAGCTCTCTATTTATTCGCACTAACCAGATTGGTGCCATTATCGGAGGATATCATCTCCACCGGCCCTAATCTAGCAATGAATCGCCTTATCGCTTTAATACATGAAACTGTAGTTAATGAACTGGCGACCTCCAAATGCCCGGCCAGTGGCGGCTTTAGGATAAAATTTAGTAGGAGGGGGAGGGGCTAAGTATTTATGGGTGTAACTATAGCACACAGCGTTATCTGAGGGCCAGGGTGGGTATGGGAGGGGGGTCTGCTCCCCCAAAACGATTTTTTTTTAATTGGGACTTCTAGATGGCCGGAAATGGCTGGGATGGGAAAACTAGGCCTACTTTTTTTTTGTTGGTCCGACTGCCCGACGAGCTTTGGCCGATGGGGGGGTGCTTGACCAGACCGATGGGGGCTTAAGTCCCCCTGCTCCGCACCTACCCCACACCCCCCCCGCTGGCGCCGCTTTGTGCCCGGCTCTTGTCCGTCTCCTCTAATTATCTCAAAGGACACAGGGTCCTCGATCTAGCACACTTACATTAAGCCAGATTTCCATACAATCGCTACACAGTCGCAGCGTTTTGAACTTCCCTGATGATTCAACTACTGTAACCAATCAGCGTCTCCAAAGGAGTCGGCAACAACGTGTAGCGATTTTTATGCAACCAGGCCTAATAGGCCGGGTTCACGCGCGCACAACCATTCCGCAACGTTGGGGACGCTCAACACAAAGATTAACTAAGCCTTAAACTTGAGGAACTCAACCCAAGTTGCACACTGTTGATTCATTGGAAACTATAACGTAACATCCGTCTCTTATTTGTGTAACAAAAGTGTATTTTTTTGCATTTTTGTATTTTTAATGTATATACAAAAGTTTAAATGGGCCTTCCTATATAATCGCTTACAATGCCTCAGTCTTTTGAACAGTAGGTCTAATGTTCGCAATTCATCAATGCACTAAAACTCATCCCATTTATATTTACGCATGAAATCTCATCTTATTAAGAAAATTGAGAATCACGATTGATACTTCTACATTGGTTAAATAGATTATGGAATTATGATTAAAAGAACAGTATTTATATAATTTGTTCAATAAGGTATAAAATCATTGCTGTAATGACATTGCTTCTTTAATGGTTATTATTATGTTTATTTTCCTATTTTATAATAGTAATGTAATAAAGATATAAATACATTCCACAGTAGATTGGAAATGCAATAATTTTATAAAATCATGCTATAAGTAAAGGTTATAATATACTTGTTATCGTGTTATAATATACCGGTACTCCTTAATCACTTCTGAACGATCTAAAATGACACACTGTTCTAGTGTTCAAGTGCTTTGATCTTGGTTCTTTCATTTACTGTAGTTTCAAATTTCGAAGTTATTTCTAATTGTTGCTGTATCTTCTTTTATTCTAAATGTAATGTGGATGTAAATCAAATAGGCTACAGTATCTATACAAAAAGCACATTGAATTTCGAATTGAATAGTTAGAATAATTATTGGGATTAAAAGTATCTTTAAGATTCACAGGTTTTAAGATGAGATTTTTTATGTAAATTTTAGCCTATTTTTGTTGGTACGGTAGTTATACAAAGTTATGGTGTATACAATGGCTCGTGTGTACTATAAAGAACCCAGTACATCCTTCGAGACGAGTATGGGGATACCCCGGTGTACTGGTACAGACAGTACCTGTGGTGGACGACCAGAGAATTGCTGGTACTGGGTTACCGGGTAGCACAGACACGAAGGGACCCTTAGGGGCGAAGAATGTCATTGATTGAGTTCGTAGTCCACATATCAAGCGCCCTGAGCATCTTACATTAGATGGATATGTGAGCTATATAAAACTACACTATTATAATTATTATTATTATTAATTATTATTATTATTATATTTATATACTATTGTATTTTTCTACACTTCACAACCCATCTTAACATTGAGAATCAGGAAAATACTCTTGAAATTTTAAAATAGATTATTATAATATATAGGCCTTTATATATATATATATTCAAGTGCTTAGGCCTGCATAGAACAACTAGCAAATTAAGCATGCATGCTCAGGCTTTGTCGCTTAAGTCGATGCCTACATATTGTGCTGGTAACATGCTCTTGGTATACGATTGGTACACTTACTAGG